CCCCCCCCCAAAAAAAAGAAGAAAAAACCAACAAAAAAACAATACGAGGCTAGATAAGGGGCCGGTTCACACATAACGTCACTAAAATTTCGGGCGATTTTGACTCCTCCCATCCCCCTTGTCACGTCACGCGGCTAACCTAACCTTCTATTGCTAGCAGGACAGGACTGTCACGCGGGCAGAGACCCTCCACCCCCCTCAGATACGTTACGTCATTTGCGGACGTCCCCTTAGCCTTTCCCAACCTCCTTGCACTTTCCGCGGAAGGTCAGGCTCCCAAATGGAGAGCCCCACAGCCTCGCTCTGCGAGTCCTCGGATAATCCTCCGGGATACGAAGAAAAGTCGCTATTTCCCTAATCTGTGACTCATGTATGTTTTGAACTGGGGCTGGGCCGGCCCTCTGCTGGCTCCCACCGCAGAATCCCACCCTTCCACCCATGGTCAGCGCGCCCCGCCCGCCGCGGAGCCGAAGACGGAGAGGGTGAGGTGGGTGAAGAGGGTGAGGTGGGTGAAGAGGGTGAGGTGGGTGAGGTGGGTGAGGTGGGTGAGGTGGGTGAGGTGGGTGAGGTGGGTGAGGTGGGTGAGGTGGGTGAGGTGGGTGAGGTGGGTGAAGTGGGTGAAGTGGGTGAGGGAGGTCAAACAAGCTGTCTCAGGGAGCTGTACCTCCACCGGGTGTACTGTACCGAGGTGCGGCGGACGTTCGGGGGAACGGGGCAAGGGTGATGGGGCGCTCCTGCCCATTGCTGTGAACGAACCGAGGCCCAAGATGAGGTAAAGGTGGGTGGTGCACCGGGGCCGAGCGGGCCAGAGAAAGGTGGAGATGGTTATCCAATAGTCGGCCACCGAGGCACCTTGTTGACGCCCCCATATCCCGTAAATGCCTGGCCGGGCTCGCCGCGACCCCGTTGCGTCGGGCTGGGCTGGGCTGGGCTGGGCTGGGCTGCCCCAACCCCTCTGCCCCGCTCACTTCGGACAGAACGCGCCACGGCAGGGACGATGACCTCACCTGTGTCCGATCGGGAAACCTCCGAGGCGGGACGGGGCGGGACGGGGCTGTGCGGGCGGGAATAGGGAAGAAACCATTACGGGAGTGATTAGTGAGGACATACAGATATGATTAAATCTAATCGGTACACGGGGACACGAACGAAGGAAAAGCTGAGCCTCGAAATTCAGGATGTGTCTCAGTCTCCATGTAGCCCGGGAGATCAAATGAAAGGTACACTAATTCACATAAAGTGTTCAACCCTTCAACATTTGAAAGTATTCAACTGGTACTTGTACCGTGTGTCAGGGCCACGACACAACAATATGCTACAGTATGCTGGGTTGCATACTCGCGCTTTCCGTTAGGTGCCATGGCCCCTAGGGCATGCGAACCCGCGCAACACTGTAGTGTCGTAGTCACTTGTAAGTGCGTCAAACTCTTCTGATGAACGCTTCCTTTGCTAGACGCACTCTGTGTGCGGAGTGTTCAAACCTGTTCCAGCAGAAGGGTTGAACACTTATAAGTTAAAACTGGACAACTACCGAGTTGATCACACTTGATCAGTTTAGCGTAATGTGGACCTTCCAGCCAGCTAGGTGTGGATTCAGGTCCGCCTAGCGGGGGAGGGGGGCACCGTAAGTTGTCTACAAGCAGGGGTTTTGTAGAGAAATTGCTATTAATCGCGCCGAATCACACTCCTTCTGGGCTGGCAGGCTCGTGTCCGACAACCCTTGCAGAACGGAAGTAAACAAGCTCTTCCGACTGAAAGAAGAAAGTTTGTGCTGTTCCACCATGAGCCACCTGCTGCTTCTAGTCAGTTTTAAACATACCAGGTGGATGACTCACGCCGCGCACTTTCGTAGTTATACAGTACCGCATGCACGGGTGCGGGTGGGCTTGCCTACCTTCGCTGCCCACGGCTCCTTGTGGCCCCGCGCGGGTAGGCAACCCGCACGCACGCGTGCATGCCGTCCTGCATAACTACGCAAGTGCGCAACGTGAGACGCAGACACCTGGTACAGTACAGGGGGCTGTCCAGTAGGAGTGCTGTGCGGTGCTGTGCTGTGCCGCTCGCTCCCCACCCACAGCACAACAAGTGACCAAAGTTGTCTAAACCTTCGAATGAGACAAATTAAATGTGCAAATCCTTGAGAATGGGCAAATCTGACAAACCTAACTAAGATCTACTATTGAATTGGAGCTATTTGAGTTGAT